TTATTTAAATCAATATTATTTTTTATATTATTACTCATACGCTTAGTTTAAATCTTAAAAATATTAATTTTTAAAAGTTAATGGTAATTGTCTTAGTGATAGAACAAGTTTAGCAACTATGCTCGACTAACCCAAACTTGAAAAAAATAGAGTTTATAAAAAAAAAACGTGAGAATTATACCCAGAATCACTGTGCATATTAAAAGTACTATAATTATATGGAAGAATAACATTTACCTGATCAAAAATAAATAACATTTGACTAAACCAGACGAAAATTCGCGATGAATTACTTTTTTACTTTTTGGTCTCAAAATAATCAAAATTGCTCAACTTGACCCTATGCTCAACTAGCCCCGCTCTTCCCTACCTTATAACTATTAAAAGATTAAAAATCTAATATTCGATTATTTGAATTCAATACAATACAATACAATACAATACAAATTTATGCAATCTTATCTCATCGATTGCGCAATTATTTGTATAAATTTGATACTTTACTAAACAAAAAATTCAAGTATCCACTGTAATTTTAAATTAAAAATTAAAAGTTTTTAATTCTAATTTCATAATTTTACTAGCAATAACACGCAAAATGAAAATGTCGCAATTTATTGAACACAAGTCTTTAGTGAACAAAATGGTTTATAAATCTGACAAAGATAAAAAATAATGAGCATTTAGCGCAGTTTCAAGAATATCAAGCTGTGGTATTAGTTTTGATTGATCGATTAATAAAAAACGATTTTTTCGAATAAATTATAATGAGATTTCAACGCTATCGACTGTACTTAATACAGTTTCAATGATTGTTACATAATTGAATGTGAGAATTTTATTTGAATAGGACGTAACAAAACATCTACCTATAATGATATCGTGCGAGGGCACGTAGTTCAATTACAAAAATTTCATTATCATTTTGGTTTTCTACGTAGTTAAAAGGAATCATTCTAATGCACCCAAAAGTAATACATTATAATATAAAACACTGAATTTATTTAACAAAACAAGAAAAAACTACGTCATCTTTTTTTAAAAATATAACAACTCGAAAACTGAATTTGTAATTGTTTCGCAAGTCAAAACTATTAGCAGTAAAATTATTAAGCAACTCAGTCTACTTTAAACTAATATTTGAAACTTCAAATGGATGGATGATTTCAAATGATCCAGAAAATTCTAGTGATATATAAATCAAAATGTACTCGGAAGCCGCAGTAAACTGCGTACACACAATCAATTCATTTGTGTAATGAAAGCCTAAACTAATATTTTAAAATTTAAATGGATGGATGATTTCAAATGATCCAGAAATTCTAGTGATATATAAATCAAAATGTACCCGGAAGCCGCAGTAACTGCGTCCACGCAATCAATTCATTTTGTATAATGAAAAGCCTAAGCTAATATTTTAAAATTTGAATGGATGGATGATTTCAAATGATTCAGAAAATTCTAGTGATATATAAATCAAAATGTACTCGGACGCCGCAGTAACTGCGTCCGCGCAATTAATTCATTTCGTACAAGAAAAGCCAAAATGATCAAAACTGAAAATAAACCTGCAAGTTCTACGTATTACGGAAAATTCGGTACCCACGAAATCAACTTGACGACCTTAAAATTAATACAAGAAATATGTACCACTGACCTTTTCTCCTGTAAACTGTAGACTGCATCAGGTTCAATTCCTCATGTAAATTACACTGCATCAATTTTAATTTCTCCTGTGAAATGGACTGCAACATCTTGTCTGGACTACCAAATTGTTGTAACTGCAATAGAAATCATTATCATTAGATACGCGTGAAATGATTTTATTGTATAAGAATATTGCATTTCGATATAAGTTAATAGTTACCTCAATATGTAGAAAACGTAATTTCGAAAACGGAATCGCAGATTCGATACACAATTCATTTCACTCACTGAACATACTAGACTACATACCGAAATTTAAAAAATCAAAAATTAAAATAAAAGAACTATGAAGAACACAATTACGAACACTTGAAATTAATATAAAATTATCACGGTATTTCCAAACAAAGCAACGATTGCAACTAAATTAAAGTGAATTCAATTCGAAACAATGCCGAACTTACATAACAAGCCGGTCAACTACGTCCGCTTCACCGAGAGCCTTCTGTCCGAAACCGCAGTCAAAATTGAAATGAGAACTGCTCTCGCAGGCCAAGCGCCACAATCCCCACTCGAGGCGTGGCCTATCCCCACTCGAGGCGTGGCCTATATCTTTGTCCTTGTTCTGCTCAGTAATTCTATGCGTGGAAAAGAGTGCGAAATAGTACTCGAGCGCACTCGCACATGATACAGTTGTCCTTCTCTGTCCGCAGTATTGCATAATGACCGATCGGCTTCCGAAAGAACCTCCGCCATTATTATGTGCTTCGCCATTACTATGTCTGTCGGCAAAGTGCAACGTAAAATTACAATCGACATATAAAGGAACTCTTTGTCAAATTTGCGTTATTTATCTAAAGTAATTGATAAAATTTTTATATGTTATTACATATTAGTCCACAAAAATGCGTTTTTTTGACTTGTAACTGTTAGAATACAATTTGTTATGTAAAAGATTGTTTAGGGGCTTTGCAATGTAATATTATCGGTACCTACTTATTGCACACCTAATTAAATTTCACAAAACTTCATTATTTAATTTTGTTTAAAAATAATATTATTAGGAAAGTCATTAAACATTATATACCGGTTTGCAGATAATTTATAAGGTTTTTAAAAATATGTAATAATATATTTAAATTACTTATAATGAAATATGGATATAAAAAACAGCAGTCAAAAAAAACTACAGACTAAAATGCAATAAAATGCCACATTGATTTGATACAAATATTTGCTTGTTTTTAAAAATCATTTATTATAAAATTGATTTCACGGAATATTATAAAAACACATCGAGCTGATTAATTATGGTCAAGATCGCTTTTTGTTTAAGTAATTAATAATATTTAAATTATTTGTATTCCATGTTTGAATTGAATAAAATGTTGCTAACTGTCATCAATTGTCATACAATACTTGATTTAGTTAAATATTTTATTATCAAAGTGTTGCTATTTTGCATCTAATACATATCTCGTAAAATAATAGATATATTTCTTATTGATTTAGCTGATTATTTTCAAGGAAAGTTAATGCAAATTTCCTGGAAGCAATATGACAACTAGTTATTTATGTTAGAACATTTACACTTCTACAATACTTGAATTAGTTATAAATTATATTCAAAGTGTTTCTATTTTGTATCATAACTAATGTAATTTTCTCCACATTTTATTCAAAAAAAATTTTTAATAACCTTAGCTATTACCTAAAATATGTCCCTTTTTCATATGTTAATCCCTAATAAGTGAATCGTAAGAACAACAGAAAGGCAAAGCCAAAATAAGATTAGGATTATGACTTAATTTAAATTAACTTCAATATCCGATGTTTGTAACAATATAGTTTTTATATACAAAATTTAAAAAATAAAATTACTTAAATCTTATATTTCATTACAATAGAATTATTTCTTTAGTAAAAAGATGCAATGATACTCAAATTACTGTACACATCAACATTAAAGACTGATCCAATTTAATGCTGCTTTATTTCAACAAAGTAATTATGTACTTCGATGAAAACGTTTTGAATTCATTTGTTGTATTTGTTGTACAAATAGTTTGCTTTTGTTAATAGTATAATTCAAAATTGATTTAAATGTAAGAATTAATTTCATATAATCATCAAGGTTTGCGATGCAAAACAGCTTTGCATTTTACAAATCTTTTATATAAGTAGTAGCATTATATATTAATATGTCATATTAAACTTAAATAGAAAATATACAAAAATACATTATATTTTTATTATTATTATTTATTACTATAAATGAAGAGAAGACTGCTTCTTGTACGATAACTATAGTGATATATCGAGTTCATGCCCATTTATATTTGAGAACATATGCAAATATTATTCTCAGCTAGTAAGTACTCGCATTCCATCAACAGTTCCTTCTGAATTAATTAAACATAGTTTTAGTTATGTAAATATCATATAAAAGAAATCAGCTTTATCGATAATGTTTGATTTACGTCCTGTCAAATCGATCGATCGCTTATTTTCGATCAAAACGATAACAAGCGCGACCGACAGCAGGGACTCTAACCAGCTCTAACTAAAATCGCGAAACAGACATTTGTTCGAAGCATAGATAAAAGAAGAGATCTGTAACGACCTGGCAACCCACATCGCACCTCAACTTGACTATTAAACTATCTTTGGCTTTTACTTATGTTTGACATCGACAGTAATCATGTCGCCAACATGAAAAATTTTAATAAACAGAATCAACATAGTTGTATTTATTATTAAAACGGTAATATTTCTAATAAATAATACAAGTAATGAAGGTAATAAATACAAGTAATGCCACCTATGATGATGGGTATACCACCGATGATGGGAATGAGGCCACCTATGGGTATGCCCCCAATTGGACCACCGATGATAGGACCCATGGGACCTATTCCGATGCGTCAGCCTATGATGAACGGATCTCAGACTAAAAGCTAAGAGTCAAAATGGAGCTAGTGTTATCAAATAGGATTTAAGGAAAAGACGATGTAATATAATTTAATGAAATGATATTGTAATGTATAACGCTTATTTACATACATATATTAAATATATTAAGTACATTTTTAAATATATTACTTTTTATTTTAAGGCCTTTTGATTAATGGCAATTATTTGATGAATCGAGCATAAATATTACAAATTGATATTGATATAAAATTACAAAAGTTTTCATGTCTAATAGTTGAATATAATAATTAACCATTCTTTCACATTATAAATAAAATATACAATTTACATAGTAGTTAGCCTAGACATTCTATAACTTAGTTCTATACACAAACAAAAATGTGTCTCAAAGAGCAGTTTCTAAAGTTGGAGATGGCGGTTTAGGTATTTCACTCTTTCTGATGCTTTGTCCCCCTGTTGTGATTCCTGTATAGTGGCCGTTTTTAAATTGTGCGGTTATTTGTAATTGGCTTGTATTATTAGAGGCTAAAAATTGGGCTCTTTGTGATTGCAATAATTGGCTCCTTGAAATATTTGAAGTCATCCTAGGATTTTTTATTAACTCAGACTTCATGAAATTGTTTTCTTCTATTTTTAAAAATAAGTTTTCTTTCAATTTTGAACCAGGAACTTTATCTATGGAATCACTGTGCTTACTTGGCGATGACTCAGATTCTTTGATAGGGTAGATAGAGACTAGGATAAGCAACGATGCAAGTATCGAAGTCTTCAATCCATCAACCTGTAAAGAAAAACAAAAACATAAGTATCAAAATCATTTGCATGAGAAATTAAATTAAAGTCTCAATTTTAAAAACTTACATTTAATCAGGTCGGTTGAAAAAAACGCAGCAATCAGTTAGCAAAGCCTGAATTGGCAAGTCTGGATCATTTTGTAAAAGACATCATCGGCATCAAAGTCTGGGAGACCATTCAAAGTGTCCAAGTCTGGAAGAAAAAATAAACATAAATATCAGAAACAATAAAATTAAAGACTTGAAATACCAAGTGTATTTCATCACAAAGTCTTTGTTAATTAATAACAAAGACTTTGCGTTGAAATACTAAGTGTATTTCATCAAAGTCTTTGTTAATTAATTAACATAGACTTTGCGTTGAAATACCAAGTGTATTTCACACAAAGTCCATAATTAATCACCTTGATTAATTAACAAAGACTTAATGATGAAATACCAAGTGTATTTCAACACAAAGTCCATTAATTAATCAACATGATTAATTAACGAACACTTTGCATTGAAATACCAAGTGTATTTCAACACAAAGTCCTTGTTCATTAATCAACATGATTAATTAACAAAGACTTTGTCTTAAAATACCAAGTGTATTTCAACACAAAGTCAGTTAATTAATCAGCTTAATTAATTAACAAACACTTTGCATTGAAATACCAAGTGTATTTCATCGCAAAGTCTTTGTTGATTAATCAAGTTAATTAATCAACATGAACTTTTTAATACTTTAAAATATTAATAAAACACGTACTTTGCCGAGATGCTCGCAGCCACTTTCCCCTCATTGTTTGCACAATTCTTCAATGCCATCAAAGTATGACCAATGCATGCAGCTACTGAAAATAAAAACAATTTATTAGTTAAATACAATCAAATATTTTTCTAGTAACTACAATCAAATTGATTAATTAACAAACACTTTGCATTGAAATACAAAGTGTATTTCAACACAAAGTCCTTGTTCATTAATCAACATGATTAATTAACAAACACTTTGCATTGAAATACCAAGTGTATTTCATCGCAAAGTCTTTGTTGATTAATCAAGTTAATTAATTAACATCGACTTTTTAATACTTTAAAATATTATTAATAAAACACTTACTTTGCGTAGATGCTCGCAGCCACTTTCCCCTCTTTGTTCGCACAATTCTTCAATGCCATCAAAGTATCACCAATGCATGCAGCTACTGAAAATAAAAACAATTTATTAGTTAAATACAATCAAATATTTTTTAACTTACTACGATCAAATCAAAAATTTGTAAAGTTAATTCGAAAGCTATTCATTTAATTGGAATCATTCATTAAGTTCAATTATTTATTCAGAACAAAGTTTATTCACTTTAAAACTAAACTTTATTTTAAACAATATATTAGCTAAATATTTTTAAAGTCAAAACAAATTGTTTCATTAATTCGAAAAGTCTTGAACAAACAAAGTTTATTCACTTTAAAACTAAAGTTTATTTATACAACAAGTCAAATATTTTATACATCAGTTTATTTTATACAATAAGTTTATTCTATACAATATTATCAAGTTAATTCGAAAAGTCTTAATGAATGATTACAATCAAATTAAGTTATTTCAATTATTTATTTCAAACAAAGTTTATTTACTTTAGAACAAAACTTTATTTTATACAAGTCTATTCATTAATAAGTACTAATACAAATATAAATACTTACATTTAATAATCGCTGCAAACAATCCACAATTTCTTCAAACACCATCCAAGTGACAGTGGCTCGGGGTGGATCGTCATCATTCTTAAGCACCATCATCAGTAATAGCATTCTTGGGCAATGGCAAGTTGAGATAGTACTCATCAAAGACACTGAAAATAAAAAATACATTTATTAGTTAAACAGTCTTCATTTATTTCATTATTTTTTTTAAGTAAAATACATTTTAGTAAACAAATTAACAAGTCTTGATCTATAATTTTTTTTTAATTTATTAAAAACTAAAGATATTTAATTGACACCAGCTATTACAATTCATTAGTTAAGTATTCTTTAAGTAAAAAAAAAATTCCTAAGTTGATTCGAAAAGTCTTCATTAATGAATGATTACAATCAAACTACAATCAAATAACAAATTTATAAAGTTAATTCGAAAGCTATTAATTAAATTGGAATCATTAATCATTAAGTTCAATTATTTATTTGAAACAAAGTTTATTCACTTTAAAACTAAAGTTTATTTTATACAAGTCAAATATTTTATACAATCAGTTTATTTTATACAACATTGTCAAGTTAATTCGAAAAGTCTTAATTAATTAATTATTACAATCAAATTAAGTTATTTGAATTATTTATTAATTATTAAATTAAATTAATTATTTATTTCAAACAAAGTTTATTCACTTTAACACAAAAGTTTATTTTATACAAGTCTATTTATTAATAAGTACTAATAAAAATATAAATACTTACATTTCTTCAAACGCCATCCAAATGACAGTGGCTCGGGGTGGACCGTCATCATTCTTAAGCACCATCATCAGTAATAGCATTCTTGGGCAGTGGCAAGTGGGTAGTACTCATCAAAGGTACTGAAAATGAAAAAATACATTTATTAGTTAAACAGCCTCAATCTATTTCATGGAATTTTTAAGTTAACTACATTTTGGAATTTTTAAATAAGGAATTATCAAGTCGAATAATTATATTTTTTTTTTCCAATAAAAAAAGGATGTTTCATTTACATCGACTATTACAACTATTACAACTATTACATTCAAAACAAAGTCTATTGAATTAAAACAAATCATTGAAATTATAATCAATACATTTTATTTAAACAATCTTTTCTTTCAAAATTAAATACATTAACAAAGTCTAAAGTGTAAATAAAATTGTTAAGACATTAACTTTAAATTTATAATGCAGTATATTTTTTTTTTATTTCAATTAATAACAAAAGATATTTAATTAAAAGTAATCTATTATAAACTACAACTATTAAATTCTAAACAAAGTCTATTAAATTCAAACAAGTCATTTTAACTCAATTTAAGGGGGTATTCTAGTGTAGAAATTCAAACAAATCGGTTTTTGAAAATTTGAATTATTTTTGGAGATATAGGCATTTTACTGACTCGGTCTCTATACTGGTTTGGCTTCACACAAAACTTTAACATTTTTTCAGATAGTCTTCTAAGACTAACTATCTATAAGTTTCTCAGAACTTACTTTTTTAATACTCTTGTCACGATTTCTGAAGTTCTACTCGACCAATTTATTTGAAATTTTCAGATAGTCTTCTTTATAGATCTATCTATAGTCTGAGCTAGAATCATCCCGAAATTCCTATTTTTAATATTTTTAAAACATTCGAGAAACTCAAAAAAACAACTTTTTTTTTCAAACAGTCGCCAATTTGTGAAAACATATTTTTTTTTTACTTATTGTTAGTTCAACCAATTGCGACATCATTGTAAATTAATAATCTTTTCATTCTTTACATTTTCCATGGCTAGGAAGGCTGAAATCATGTCAATCAAGACTGACATGCCAATTTTTTGAGACCATACACTTCATCAGTTGCCAGTTTTTACAATTTCAATAAACAAGACGTAAATTCAATTAAACAATTTCTTTATTTCAAATTCAAAGTGTATTAAATTTTAAACATAATATATATTCATTGTCGATACTTTTTTATTTTTTTATTTTTGTTTTAATCTTAATATTAATAAACAAATGATAAAAAAAATTGATAGTGAAAACATTCATTGCTTTCTTTTACGATAATTTAAAAATGACCTAAAATTCATCGCTCTACACTAAAATACCCCCTTAAAACAAAGGTTTATTTTACGAAAAAATTTATTGATTAACAAATCAAAGTCCAAAGTATAAATAAAACACTTACTTTTTATCGTTGCTCGCAATACATGATTGCCATTCTTAAGGAGCATCAGTTGTGGCATTCTTGGACAGTACGTTGTCATCATTGCAAGCACTGAAAATAAAAAACGTTTATTAGTTAAACAGTCTCACTTTATTTTATGTGTTTTTTAAGAAAATTCATTTTAAATTTTTCAAATAACAAATTATTAACTCTGTTAGAAATCAACAAATATAATTCAATTCTTTTATTCCATCAACAACAAACAATATTTAATTAAACTACAAATATTACATTCAAAACTAAATTTATTTAATTAATACAAGTCATTTAAATTTCAATCAAAACATTTTATTAACAAAATCTTTTGTCAGAAATGAATTCAACAAAAGCAAAGTATTTTAAACTAAAGACAAATTTCAGTAATTTAAAAATAAAGTATATTAAATTATAAATTAAATTTATAAAGTTAAACATTGTGTTTAATAATGAACAAAGCTCATTTAATAAAGTAACTAATTTTATTGAATAATAAACCAAGTTTAAAGTGTCAATTAAATGCTTTTATTATTAATTAAAAGCAACATTAGTACAATTTCATAAAATATTTCATTGTACACTATCACTATTGCAAATGGCAAGTTTTAAATATTTACATATAAAGTTAAGTAAATTTCAAATGTTTTTTTAATCGGATATTATCTGTAAATTTTAAGCAAAATTTATTACATTTAGTGAACAAAATGCATTCAATTATAAATTAATTATATTTCATAATGAAGCATATTGATATTTGACAAAAAAAACTTGATTTCGAATTCAAAGTGTAAAGTAGAGAAAAAAACACTTACATTTTCAGTTGTTCTCGCACCACTCCCTCAACAGCAACGTCAATTTTTGGGCTCCAAAAAGCATCTTCATCCCTTACATTCTTTTGTTGGTCTTGCTCAGGGCTCAGCAATGATTCTTTGGCAGCATCATCATTGCCACTACTGAAAATTAAAAAAAAAAAAAACATTAGTACAATTTTATATAAAGCTTTGAATAGTTATTTTATTATATTACTATGTGATTGCTTTTAAATTATGATTTAAATATTTGTGTAAAACTCAGGAAAAACTATTTCAAATGTTTTTTAAAATGGATTATAATTAATTTTAAGCTAAATATATTGAATTGTATACAAAGTGCATTAAATTAAAAACAACATGTAAATTTAATTAAACAATATCTTTATTTCAAATTCAAAGTGTATTACATTTTAAACATAATATATATTCATTGTCGATCAATGTATTTGACTGATTTCTTCAAATTACCTTATATTTTGCCCGGTTGCAAAATCCTCAGGCACACGATGGCATTTTTGTCTGTTGATTTCTATTATTAGCATCAATCCCTCACAATGACTCGATGGAGAAGGCACATCAACTCTTTTGGGGCACCGAAAAGCATCTTCATCGCTTACATTCTTTTGTGGGTCTTGCTCCAACAATGATTCTTTGGCAGCATCATCATTGCCACTGCTGAAAATTAAAAAAAAAAATACATTAGTACAATTTTATATAAAGCTTTGAATAGTTATTTTATTATATTACTATGTGATTGCTTTTAAATTATGATTTAAATATTTGTGTAAAACTCAGGAAAAACTATTTCAAATGTTTTTTAAAATGGATTATAATTAATTTTAAGCTAAATATATTGAATTGTAAACAAAGGGCATTAAATTAAAAACAAGATGTAAATTTAAATAAACTATATCTTTATTTCAAATTCAAAGTGTATTACATTTTAAACATAATATATATTCATTGTCGATCAATGTATTTGATTGATTTCTTCAAATTACCTTATATTTTGCCCCTTTGCAAAATCCTCAGGCACACGACGGCATTTTTGTCTTTTGATTTCCATTATTAGCATCAATCCCTCACAATGACTCGATGGAAAAGGCACATCGACTCTGCTTTTTGGGCTATCGAAATGCATCTCATCTGCAAGAAAAAAAAAGAACATGTTAATTTGGAAATTTATTCAAATTAAACACTACAGTCTAATAATTTGATATCAAGTATTTATCATCATTTGTATTAAAAATTAAACATTACACTAGACTGAAAGAGATTTTCTCACAATGTGGCAGGAGGTTAAATTACCACATTTAACACAAAACTTGGAAATTTTACTAATTTACTAATTCCTTTCAACAGTTGATAATATTAATATGTGAAAAAAACAACAAAGTTCGTTTTATGTATTTATTATATATTTGTCTCATTTATAAACAGCAAAATAAAAATACACCATTTCATTGAGCATTGAAGAAGTCACATTACAAAGCTACATGTACGACGCTAACGCCATCCGCATTTCAATGGATATTTTTCTTTTTAGCTAATATTTCAACCACATTTTTCAAATAATTTATTATGATATTTCAACTTTAAACAATTAAAGGACAATCATTTTATCTAATTAAACAATTAGGCTTTTCTCCTTCCAAAATTATAAACTCACAAAACTTTATAACAAAAAATTACTTATTTATAAGTGTCGAAAATTATATTTTATAACAATTACCTTTTACAGGCGCTAGGGAAGCTTCAAGGCCTGCACCGAGTCCAGAAGGCATTGCCCAAGTTGAGATGTTCCATTAACAGGGAATCATGAATCCGACTGTGGCTCACATTGCAATTGCATCAACATCATCCTCGTCTGAAATATTAAATAAATTGAATTAAATTACATGTCAATTTTTTTAAATATTACTTTTTTATTTAAAATAACTTAATCATTCAATATTTCATATTGATCAAACATTAGAAACTTGAATATAATGAATTATTTGACTGTAAGAAACAATGATCTCTTTCAATTAATTTGTTATTTTTGTTTCAATTAATTTGTTATTTAAAGAGTAGAGTACATAAATCATTTTAAATATTCGAACTAAACCTACCTAATTCAATAAAAGCTGCAGCCTCTTTGGCTCAATTCTTTGGCATTGCTCTAGGATTTGTAGAGCATCATCCTTGTCATTTTCTTCAAGAATGCACATATCCCCAATATGCATGTCGGCAAGTCCATATTGTTTGATTCACTGTAGAATTTCTAGAGTATCATCCTTGTAATTTCCTTCAAGACTGTACATGTTCCACAATATGTATGTCGGCAAGTCCATATTGCCATATTGTTGAGCCCGGTAGCGCCGGCACTTGTGATTTTCCAAGTTAATTGGATTTTTGTTATAAATCCATTTGATACAATCAGCATCTCAATGTAAACGACGAATTCTTCAAATCGTGATCTTGCTACTAGTATGTCCAATAAATCTTTCTAGTCATTGGCAGAAAAATCAACTGTAAGACATGTGCGTAAAAGTCATCTATATAAAATATCAGCCCATTGCAATTTCCTTATAGAATCTAAAAAAATAAAAACTGTCAAATTAATATGCACCTAAAATTCAACAACATTCACTTTTCAACTTATTAAGTTTTTACGAGTTTTTTTGATTCTGAAGTAAATCGAGTTGCTGTTTACGACTGTTTAAAAATAATTGTGTGATATATATATTCACATATTCGTATATTCACTTTTATTTAAAAAATTATGTGACAAATTTACCAAGTATGTAATGAATTTTAATAGATAAAGAAACATTATCATTATTGAATGTTAAATTATATTAAAAACTTTACAAATCAATCTTGATTCGTCATTTCAAATATGCAAGACAAACGAATATGAAATTATGAAATCGCAAATTGTATTCATTTGATTCTTCAATATTTAAAATAATATTAACTCTACTCAATTGAGCAAATAAAGAATTCATTATGTATTTGTAATTTCATTAAACAGTTACACCTTGCACAGGTTTTATCTTACGAAAAGCACAAAAGCTCATCCATATGTATTATTGATTTATGAATTTTTAACAAAATAAATCATCATACTGATAAAAATAATTCAATTCCTTTAAGTTGCGTCATAACTTTTTATAATTTTCGCATTTGATCAAAATTATTAGACTGTACACAGTCTCTATATTGAGAACAAACAGATTTGCTCTGGAAATAAATAAATTGATTTTTCTAGTGATTTAAATTTGTCATGGGATTCCAAATGTTCTAACTTTTCTCGAGGTCTGAAACTACACTTTGTGTTTGCATTGAATTGCTTTTCTAACATGATGTACTATAAAATCTAATCACATCATTCGGAATACTGCCAAAAGTTTCTTCTTTGTCCATATTCTCAAATACTTTTAAATTTCACAATGAAAAATTTAGTCATACATATGAATAAAATCAAAGCTAATGAAAAAAAAATTATACGAAACAATTCTTATATACATACTTGTATAGATAATTTCATCCTCCTTTTGAATATTTTGAGTCATTTACTAATATTAGCATAAAATTAATGAAATATGGTATTCAGTTGTAGATCTTGACATTTGTAGCACCTCTTCATTGATAAGAACATTACATATTTTAATTTAAACAAAGACCCTTGTAATATTTATAGTATATTTGCCTTATATATTGTGTTGCATTGTTGAATTATCCACAGCAGATATATAATGGATAGATGGCTTGTGTACCTAATAGTACCTCTTCATTGATAAGAACATTATATATTTTGATTTAAACAAAGATTCTTGTAATATTTGTAGTATATTTGCCTTATATATTGTGTTGTTGCATTGTCGAACTATCCACAGCAGATATATAATGGACCTTGTAATATTTGTAGTATATTTGCCTTATATATTGTATTGTTACATTGTTGAATCCTCCAGAGCAGATATATAATGAACAGATGACTTGTTTTGCTTGTATATATTATAGCTTGTAGATATAAAAGTACCGAGTAAGTTATCTTCAATATATGTTTGTGACCACCACACTTCTGAGTAAAATGTTGATAGTCAAATATATTTCAATGAAGATATCTTTCAAATACAATGTCTACATATTGTTTGTAGAATGCCATATCAAAGTCATCAACTGCGTCGAATGATCTTCATTAAATTTCAAGCCTCTTGAGAATAATTCATGCATTTGTTCTACAAATTATGCAAAGTTTGTGTGCTCTCTTGTTGACGATGAAGATGATTTGGATCCATCAATTGATAATAGGATGTGATAATACAATATATGCACCATACTACAGTAGCAAATACTTTTGTAACTTGCCGACAACGAAGATAATTTGGATCCATCAACTGATAATTGGATGTGATAATACAATACTTGCAGTAACAAATATTTTTGTAACTTGCTGACAACGAAGATGATTTGGATCCATCAACTGATAATTGGATGTGATAATACAATATTTGCACCATACTGTAGTAGGTAATACTTTTGTATCTTGCTGACAATGAAGATCATTTCAATCCATCACTTGCTAATTGGATGTTTTCGTGACTACTATTGGAATTTCTTGACGATGAAGATAATTTGAAGCCATCAATTGCCAATTAGATGTGATAATACAATCTTGCATCATATTACAGTAGCGAATACTTTTGTAACTTGCTGACAACGAAGATGATTTAGATCTATCAATTGAATGTGATAATACAATATAGGCACCATACTACAGTAGCAAATACTTTTGTAACATCTTGACAACGAAGATCATTTCAGTCCATCAATTGCTAATTGGATGTTTTAGTGACTACTTTTGAAACTTGTTGACAATGAAGATAATTTAGAGCCATCAAACTGCCAATTCGATGTGATAACACAATATATGCAGCATACTATCAGTACAATATTTTCTCTTTACTAATGTTTCTTCTCACCAAACTCGATCTTTTATTATGTTTTGTGCTTCATCACTATTTCTGTTTCTTGAACAGAATGTTTTCTTATACAAGAAGATACAACAGAATACAATATTTCGTTCCTCTGCTTTTTTTCGAATTATTGTGTTTCCGCAAATACAAAAATATAAATCGTTCCGTACTAATATTTTTTCCATATTGCTTTATGTCAGTTTAAATGAACAAGTGAAATAATGACACATTAAGGTGCTTCCTTCGGCACCTAACGAAGAAACATAGTGTGGACGTGCACAACGAACACGCCGAGCAAATACAACCAACAAACATATGTTCGTGTGAGCAATGTTCCGCAACTTGTCGGTACATAAAAAAAAATTATTCGTTCATATAGACAAACATTTTTCTTTTTTGATGATTATTTGGTGATATTGCTTTCTCGCCACTTTAAATAATAAAAATGACGTTTCTCGGAACATGCTCGAACAAAAAAGATTCAAGTCCTCACTGCTTTGAGGCGTTTGTTCAAGTTTGTTTGTTTGGAATGATTTGCTTTCGTTCGTGTTCGTGTTCGTCCTTTGCATTTTATTGTCCGGTATGGTTCGTCAGGTTATTCGTTCGAGTTTGTTCGTTAGGTGTCGACCACCTACCTTAATGTATCGTTATTTTTCTGATATGCGTTTTAAGGTGCCGAACAAAACTAAACTGCTGGCAATATATGGTTTTAGACTTTCCAAACTCTAGATTAGATCTATTCATAGATAAATATAAAAGTGATTCTATTTAATTATTATAGATACTGTAACATTGCTCAGAATAAAAGTTTCAAACCTGGAAAAAAAAAGAAATTAATATTGCAACCAAAATCTAGTCACGGTTTCAGAATCCGAAGAGTAAAATGTATTTGAATTTATTTTTTAAATTAATTTTTTAAATTTATTGTGTTTCCGCAAATACAAAAATATAAATCGTTACGTACTAATATTTTTTTCCATATTGCTTTCTGTCAGTTTAAATCACCAAGAAACATAAGGACACACATTAAGGTGCGTCCACACCTAACGAAGAAACATAGTGTGGACGGGCACAACGAACACGCCGAGCAATAATACAACCAACAAACATATGTTGGTGTGAGCAATGTTCCGCAACTTGTCGGTACATCAAAGAAAATTGTTCGTTCATGTAGGCAACATTTTTCTTTTTCGATGTTAATATGTGCAGTTTTGCATTAATTTATGTTGTGATTATTTTGTGATATTGCTTTCTCGCCACTTTAAATAATAAAACTGACGTTTCTCGGAACATGCTCGAACGAAAAAGATTCAAGTCCTCACTGCTTTGAGGCGTTTGTTCAAGTTTGTTTGTTTGGAATGATTTGCTTTCGTTCGTGTTCGTGTTCGTCCTTTGCATTTTATTGTCCGGTATGGTTCGTCAGGTTATTCGTTCGAGTTTGTTCGTTAGGTGTCGACCACCTACCTTAATGTATTGGTATATTTCTGATATGCGTTTTAAAGTACCGAACAAAACTAAACTGCTGGCAATATATGGTTTTAGACTTTCCAAACTCTAGATTAGATCAATTCATAGATAGATATAAAAGTGATTCTATTTAATTATTATAGATACTGTAACATTGCTCAGAATAAAAGTTACAAACCTTGAAAAAAAAAGAAATTAATATTGCAACCAAAATCTGGTCACGGTTTCAGAATCCGAAGAGTAAAATGTATTTGAATTGGCAAGAAATTCAATATTCACGTTTTCTTATGAAACGTATCTAGTAATATAGTCAAAAATCAACTTATTTATTATAAACTATGACCTAGCGGTCG